GTCTAATGACATTAAATTTAGCAGCACAATCTATTGCTATAATGGCATTTTCATGTGGACATTTGTATTTTAATTTAGTTAATTTTGGAGTCATGAAAATGTATAGTTTCAGTTTTTTAGTCTTCGGGTTTTTTCATTGAATAGACTAACATTACGGCTTTTTTTTAATCTTTTTTGGAGATGGACGGACAGTCAGTACAGCCATTGTATAGCAAGAGCTATGTAGTGATTTATTTAAAAAAATCTACTTTTTATATTTTCCATGGAAAAACAACAGCACATGGGTTTGGAATGATATGAAGTTGACTAAACAATGACAGAGTTTTCATTTTTTGGTGAACTCTCCCTTTAAAGAAATATTTATAGTGTATATTTATTAGATTATATGATTAGTTATCAGTGTGACATTAGAATAGCAAGCCTTTAATTTTCATGCTGTCATGATTCTCACGCATACAGTATATACATTTAAAGTGGCTTTTACAGACACTATTTGTAACAGATTGTAAGACTTCCCACTCCCTATATGGTTGTGTTTATTTTTAGGAAGAGGTAAGACAAGGCAGTCTTCCTCCACCACAGCAGTGGGATTTCACTGCATATTTTTAGCAAGCCTCCGCTCTTCTTTAAAAGTGCAAGGGATAATTTATAGAGGGTCTTGTCTCATTTTTTCATGTCTCCTTTAACCGTGTAGTGCAGTATTTACACAGTGTGAGAAAGACCATCTATACATTCTCTACATGTGTCTATTAAAATTACTAAGCAACACTGTTCTACACTCTTGCTCTTTGGATTCTGTCACTATGGGCCTTACAAGCCCCATGAGGAACAGAATTACTGTTCGTGGAATCTCTGTGTTACTGGCTGATGAAAGCAAACTGGCAGGCCGCTGATGATGGCAGTGAGTTAGCACACATTGAAAGCAATCCAGGATTGAACAACAGGGGGCTTTTGGAAAGTGAATTCGCAGTTTATCAGCACAAATATGTAATTACAGGTCTTGTTTAAATCTGCTAATTCCTTCTGTTATTTTTTTGGGGGGGCTCAGTTGTTTCTTTATTTCCATTTTCGCCTTTAAGAGGCCAGCCGAGTTGTTCAAAGTTATTTCGAGCCACAGATGGTATTTGTTCTGTTTGATGGGAAAATATTCTTGGCTGTAGGCCATCTTCCTTTCTGGCAACACGGAGGGAAGCAGGTATATGGTATTGTCAGAACAGGAAGGAGCGGATGTGAAAGGCCAAGAATATCCAGGAAGGTAATTATCGGTTGCACTGGACAGTCACGTGTCTCATTTGAAGTTAAATGAGTTTATGGTTTGCAAAAATTCTGTTATTGTCTTCCATTTTAAACCACAGCTTAAACATTAACTCAGCAAAGTAGTTTTTATATAGATTTTTTTTTTTTTTGCTGACTTGTTCCACTGTCTAAGGTGTAATATGAAGCGCTGTACTGTATTTTGTTATGAATGAAATGCTAAGTCATTTAAGCTTGCAAATGAACTCCAAATGCTTGTCTTGTAAGCAGATTTCCACCTGTGTGCCCTGGAAAGGAAAAGTTATGAATGGAAGGAGTATGTCTGCATAATCCCAAATACATCCAGCACACATGCTTCACACATGATGAATTGGGTGGAGAGAAGTCTTTAATTGTCAGAGGCAGGGAATGAGCCCATGGTAATATGCTGTTAGGCTTTAATTGCTTTGAAGCGGCAGACTGACAGGGGACTCTCCATCATGATGTATTAGAATGAAGAGCCAGGTGGCAGGTGTTCGCAGGGACAGTTAATTACTTTCTTATTGTTCTTGCACTTGAGTTGTATTTTCCATGAACCTGAGATTAAGTTTGCTAACTTTTTGGATTTAGCTATTATAGTTACAGCAGCACTGAAACACTTGATCTTTCACTCGCTCTAATTCTCTCTTTTGCAGTCTAAACACACCCACCAAACTTTTAATATCAAGCCAATTATGGATAACTAAACGCTCTCTCGTTCACTGCTGTGTGTGTGCACTTTGGATGGGTAAATGTAGAGCACTAATTCCGAGTATGGGTCACCATACTTGGCCACATGTCACGTCACTTTTTTTTTTTTAAAAGGGATCTCAAACAACACTGATTTTCATTTTAGTCTTTTGTGTTATTATGCTGACCAAAGAAAGTCATAAAGGTTCGTAAAGAAGGAAGTGATGAATGAATTATCATTATTATTCCTTATCATTATAATTATTATTATAGGCTATAGTACTATAATAGTACCATACTTATTATATGTACTGTTATAGTACTAATAGTATTTATTCATATTTTGAATGAGCTTTTATTTTAATATTTTCAATTTTCATCTTAATTTTTTTAATTTAGTTTAAAAAGTGCTGTTGTCATTTTATATTAAATGTAGTACTTTAGCTTAAGCATATTTTCTTTTGTTCATTTCTCAGTTTTTCATGTAATATTTGTATTTTATTTTAAACTTTATTTCAAATAATAAACTATTTTTAATAGCTGTTGTCATTTTTGTTAGTTTTTATGTCCTCACTTTATTTTAAGGTCCAATTCTCGCCATTAACAAACCATTAACCACGACCTTTCCCTCAATAAACTCCTAATTTGCTGCTTATTAATAGTTAGTAAGGTAGTTGTTAAGTTTAGGTATTGGTAGGATTAGGGATGTAGAATATGGTTATGCAGAATATGTGCTTTATGAGTACTAATAAACAGCCAATATGTTAATAATAGGCATGCTAATAAGCAACTAGTTAATAGTGAGAATTGGGCCCTATACTAAAGTGTTAGTTTTTTTATATTTCTGTATAGCTTTATTTTTATTTCAGTTTTTTTTTATATAATTGTACTACTTCAACTTAAACATATTTATTTCTGTTAGTTGCCAAGTCAACATTTCTAAGTTTGAATCTATTATTTATATTTTATTTTATTTTATTTTACCTTTATTTCAATTACCAAAAACAGTCATTAGTCATTTGACCCTTTAGTCATGTGCTTCTGCGTCTTTAAGAAATGCCCTCTTCACGTGTGAAATGAGCAGCAGCTCTGATTGCTGACCAGACTGTTGCATTGTGGAATTCTGTGACTGAAAGAACCCATTAGTCTTGCCTCCCTCACAGACTCATAGAATCCCAAGCCATGCCTCCTGGGGCCCTGGGGGAGCTCCTGACAGGTGGAGCTGCAGTGTTGGTTGACTCAGGACAGGTCCAGGGCATGGAAGGCCAGCAGCTAAAGGCAAACAGTGAAGGCCAAAGGCTGGGGAGGATTACTGGAAATTTTACTGCTTGGTTTGACATCATCTCAGCGACCCAAGTGAGGAGAAGCCCATCTGGACTCCATTAAACCCTACTGCAGTGGAATGACATGGACACACTGTGTCAGACTGAGAGTTTTATGTGTGCCCTTGAATTACTAAGTCTCTCACTTCTTTTACACCTCTCTTTGCTCTCTTATTCTGTCACTGAAACTTATAGCACATTTTTATGAACACGCACAGCTGAGATAGCATTTAGTACAGGCTAGCATAAAATATTATGCATCTCAGCGACTAATGACTGACAGTCCCAATAATATTGCTGACATTGTGACAGGCGCCATTGACCGTCCTCTGTGGTCAGCAGTGCCAGCCACTTCCTAGTAAAATCCTTAGCCATTTTTCAAAATACCTCTTCTGCAAGCTCTTCATTTATCCATAACCATAAAGGTACTTTCTAATCTAAAAAATCATTTGTTAATTTACGATTTTGTTTCAGCTTTTGTGCAACTCTGGCTAATTCTTGAATTTGACTGCTAATACTATTGGCTCCAGTATAATAAATTGCTTAATTTTCCTTATTTGTAATTCACTTTTTATATAAGTGCTGTGTGCTAATTGATCAAATGTAATTGTCATAATTACCCCAGACATCAGTGGACCTCCAGACCAGGACTGAAGGAATCTTTAAAGGATTGGTTCACTTTCGGAATGAAAATTTCTTGTTATTTTGCAAAGATGTTCATGTCTCTCCTTCTTCAGTCAAAAAGAAATTAAGGTTTCTGAGGAAAACATTCCAGAATTTTTCTCCATATAGTGGACTTCATTGGGGATCAATGGGTTTGAAGGTCCATATTGTAGTTTCAATGCAGCTTCAAAGAGCTGAACACGATCCCAGTCGAGGAATAAGGGTCTTATCTAGCAAATCGATTGGTCATTTTCTAAAAAAAAAAAAAATTATGTACTTTTTTAACCACAAATGATCATTTTTCACTAGCTTGACCTCCCACGCATTATGTAATTATGTTGGAAAGGTCACGCGTGATGTAGGCGGAAGTACCGACCAAGTGTTTACAAAGCAAACATGCAAAGAAAGTCACATTACGTAATGCGTGAAGACGCGCATGCTCATTGCAGAGCTAGTGCAAGACAAGCATTTGTGGTTAAAAAGTGTATAAATTGTAATTTTTTTTAGAAAATGACCAATTTTTTAGAACTTAACCAATTAAGTTCATTAAGATGTGGCAATATAATGTCCTCCTTACCCAGAGCTGAATACTATTAGAAGTATTCTCTAGTAATCCACAGAAACACAAGTGAGTCCACACAAATATTTAAGCTGCGTCACTGAGCCCACTAATTGCTGAGATGTTTGGATGTGGTGTTCGTGTAGATGCCGTTTTCTCTAATCGAGATATCAAAGCCATCCTGTCAAGGCTAATATTAGATCAGTAATGCTTTAGCTATGGTATTGCATATATATCACATAATTGTGACATTGCTGCACAGTAAGTGGTTGTGATTAAAATATAATGGGAGGGTTCAGTAAGACAAAGACAGTGAGAGAGAAACTAACCATCTGCTGTGCAGCCTACTTCCTGGGCAGGGCGAGAAAGTGTTACAGTGAGGAAAGGGGGATGGGGAGGGCTGCACCAGCTGCTGGAGAAGCACTGGATGGGTCAATAAGACTGAGGGTGTGCCACAACGACCGGCAGCCTTAGTTAGGTAAGGTTACACCGGGATGGAGAGGGCGAATTTGGCGTCTCCATGGTTCTGGATGGAAGACAACATGCGCTGGCCTGGCTGTGTGCCCTGGGATCTGGATGAGGAGGATCTAGTGCAAGGTAAACTGTATTAATATGCTCCTGTCGTCCAGACAGTCCTTTAAGAACAGCAAAGAATGTTAGCATTAGCATCAAGTAGAGACTATAGTCCACTGGCTTTCGTCCACCAGATGTGCAATGTCCCACTTACTACTGTGGAATTTGTCTGCGATTAATGTTTTAGCTGGTGCAGTATCTGTTCTCTATGTCAAGAGATGGTGCTGTGGTTAGTAGAAGGCTGCTCATTTTTACCTCTTCGGTTCTGCCCTCACAGATTTCAGGTTTCAGGACATCATTTGAAACTGAGCTCAGCAGAATCGGGGCATCTGACACCAGCGGTTCTCGCACACTAGGGCTGGTAAAAAGACAGAATCGCTTTGGGTGTCACTTTCATAGCACGGGTTGGAAACTTTAGACGTTTCAAAAATGAGCAAGATAATTTTATTGTATTTATTTATTTGCCGTTATTTATTTATTTAATTTCCGTAATCCATTTTCACACAGCCTTTTTTTATTTAGTTATGAGCTAAATGAGAAGCCAAATAGAAACCTTCAATATGTGTCAAAATCAGCAAGATTTTTATTTTATTTTATTTATTTTTGCAATTAAAGTAATCCTTCCTCGCTATCACACAGCATTTTTTTTTAGTTATGAGCTGAAGGAAAAGCCAAATGGAAACCATGTGTGTCAAAAAGTGCCCCTATTATGCCATTTTTAAGGTTGCTAATATTGTTTTATGAGTCTCCTAAAACAGGTTAACATGCATGCAAGGTCAAAAAACACGTTAGTTTTCTCAAAAAATAGATTTAATTTTACCTAATTTCTAAATGATTCGTAAACGACTCGTGCGAAGCAGTTCAAAGAATCAGTCTCTCTAAACCCCTCCTTTCCGTGAGCCCTCACTGCTGTGATTGGTCAGATGGCGCAGTCCTTTGTGATTGGTCCAGAGCCGTAGAGAGATTGGCTCTGGATTGGTCTAATGCATACAGCGCATGTCTGAAACGAAACACCCATTGCCATGACGGAATGACAGCCCTGGAGACTTGTCATAGAAAAGATGGTATCGACTGTACCTTACCAATTCGAGCCGGAGTCTGATGATGAAACAGTTGAACTGGCTGATCAACAAGAGACTGATTCGCAAGCACGACTGGAACAGGACGTTTCTGGTAAGTGTCAAGTGTTAACAAGTTTGTGGTAATTATAAGATGTGATAAAACAAATTTACTCTCACAGCGTAGGATACAGCGTCTTCTCAACATGATGTTAACCACACGGAAATTCTACTGTTTGTGGGCGGGCAAGTTGGCAACGTAGAACGTGGGCAGACATTATGCAAATGTGTTACTTCGTGACGTAGAGCCGTAACAGAATAAGATTCGAATTCCTGACGACTTGTGTAGGCGATTGCGAGCCGACTCTTTTTTTTTGATAGACAATAACTTTATTTATCTTGCACTGTCGGCTTCACAACTTTGCAGATAGTTTATGTTCACATACAGCTACATGACACACTGCATGAAAGGTAATATTCGAAAAGGCATAATAGGGGCACTTTAATTTAATTTAATTTTTAATTTTTTTATTTTATTTTTGCAGTAATCCTTCCTCATTGTCACACTCCAACTGACCTGTTCAATGTTGGCCATCTCTCATTGAACAAGTTAACTGGCTTCCATTGGCTCACAAGGTGCCACATGTGCACACGCTGATGATGTTGTTTGGTCTGCTTTTCAATGCATTTTCTCTCAGAATAACACTTTGTATAATAAAGGAGGTGTTACTGCAAATAATGATTTATGTGGATTTCTAAAGAAGAGCAAGAAGAAATTGGGTATACTGTATACACCCATTTAATATTGCATCACGCTTTTCAACCCATCATGCATATTTCTTTACATTCCACAGAAAACAACAACGCCTAAAATTTCATCATGAAGGCAAGAGATGCACTCTTTTTTATCACTCAAAGAGATACAATACAGTACAACAATCATGACAACTACAGTGCAAAGAAACAGTGAAAATAATAAACAATGAGGCGATAATTTACATGATTTATGCATGCTTTTTCTAGGAAACTGCAGAAATCACAAAATGCATATTTCTGTGTTGCATGTATTGGATGAGGTTTATGTGTATGCCGGGTTGAAGAGTTTGATTCATTATCCGTGATTAACAATGAGTAAAAGTGATTCAGATGATTAACCGTGATTAAAACCTCTGCTGAAGTCTGTTACACTGAAATGTTCTATAGTGACGTCTGACCTTTAAAATACTGTTCGCTGTAAAACCCTGTAAAAGTTTCTGATATGATGCCATAATCTTTACCACTGAAAAGGGTTCTCTAAGTAAATGGAATTTATTTGTTCATACAATGATATACAATCTTTAACTGAAAAACTGATAATGTGAATGAGAAGTTGATAAAGTTTACAAAAACACAAAATAGCACATCTGAGACTTAGTTACAGAAATAAAGAATAAAGTTTTAGTGAAATCTATGTTAAGCAGTTCAGTCTGAATTAATTGGTGGATAACATTTGTGGATAAGGAGGAAAAATGTAGGTTTGAGGACTATCAGTTCTGTGATGCTTCGCAAGCAGTGTAATGATGAGTTTCTCCCACCTATAATTAATTGTCTTTTGTCTTCATCTTCATTCCATCTTTTTGTGGAATACTTCCCCACTTTATCCCCAGGCACTTTCATGTGCAAAGGGGATTCAGATTTAAGCTTGTGGTTTTTTATGTAACCGTTGCTTAGCAACTAAGACGGTATTCTCTGAGCAAGTAAAGTGCCATTAGACACAACGCAGTCCCTCATGTGGATATGCTATATTATAAGAAAATATTTATCTTCAAGTGTTTTTCAGTGTTATGTCATCAAACTCATTCCTATCATTTTTTCTGCATGCCGGCATCCCGCTAGTTTATGTTGTCCATCCCATAGCCGTGTCGACGTATCAGTGCTGCTCAAAATAGGGCTAATAATTCTTTTGAGAAGTTTTCTTTTGAGTTCAATTTGAGAAATGTAATGCAGCTTAATGGGCATATTTTGACTGTTAAATAATGGAAAAGCCATGTGAAGTTATGCTAGAAATGTAAAGCAAAGCCACAACTGTTACACTAAATGTTCCTTTTAATGGAGACACATAATAGGTCGCTTAACTCATTTTACAGAGTTTCCAAAGGTTTCATTTGAGTTGGAATGACATTTAATTTTACACTTGATATAGATAAAATAAGAGAAGTTTGGTGAAGAATTTTTCAGTTATGAAATTAGAAAAGTTTTCCGTCCTGACTTCTACCAAATTTGCATTTGACCTTTTGAGAAACTATTTACATAATGCATTGTGGACATAGAGCGAGTGTGTTTTTGATGGTGCATTTTAGAGGGCACATTGATTATAAGTCTTTAATGAGAGGTATTTTAGGCCACTTGCAAGGATATTCGTCTTCCATTCGAGCCTCGCCAGCTGCTCTGAATGTCTCTTGAGGCTGTTTTGGTTAAATCTTGCTTAAATAAAATCAATGCTGAGGTCTCCATAATTAGGATTTCTGGGTTGTTAATTAAACACAGCTCAAGAGGAGAGCGTGTGTTGGAACGCCTCTCAAACTTCCCATCAGGGACATGGAGGTGCCGCCAGGGACATCCTGATGTGTTTTAGATACTCATCTGCCCTAAATACATAGTGTAGCAAAACTTGCCTCATTTCACCTGCATTGTAAGTGATTTTTATTTAAATGGCTTCTTCATTAAAATTATTTACAAGAGCAAGGACATTTTAGTGAATTTCTCTGAGCATATATTAATAGATCTGTCCTTTTGTTAAAGGATTAGTTCACCCCATTGGAAAAGAAATTCAGAATGCTTGAGGCACTATTTCGTGTGATGAGCTTAAAAGTCTTTTTTCACTTATAATCTCCAGTCAGATGTTAACCAATGCAACCAGATTAGAGTTGAACTTGAGTCAAAATCGTGAGTGAAATGCTTTATGAATTGGATAAAGTAATTCATTGAAAAGATTTGACTCAAAAGAATGATTCCATTCTGAATCAGGCATCACCACTTCTCCCCTAAACATTCATGAACTTGCTAGACTCCATACAGAGGGTTTTCTTGTAATGTGTTTTCTATTTTAATTAAATTCTGTAGTGGTTCATTTGTCCCTCGTGCCAAGAACTGACAAGATTTCCAACAATTTCCAAGCTTCATCTACTCCTCAGCAATCTTCTCCTTTCTGTCCCTTAACTCTTACTTTCTCGCTCATAGTGACTCATATGGTGGTATGTCACACAGTATCATTCTCTTTTCCATTATGGTGAATCACATCACTTTGTTGGCTCTGGAGAACCTGACATTGATCCACGCTGGCACATTTCACTGCCTGCAGTCTCACTGGCTTTTATTTAGCAAGTACCCTGTGCAATCCACATCACTGGAAATCCTTCCAGAGTTCCTCCTTCAAAGGAAATCCCAGTCGTTAGCCAAAGAGCTTGTTAATTAGAGCCTGACCGGAGTTTCATGAGGAGGAAGTGTAAAGTCAGGTAGAATAGAGTGCAATAGAGAACACCTACTTTTTTTCACAGCTTTAGTTACGGAAGTATTTTTCCCATTCATTTTCTTCATAAAGATAAAATATATTTATTTAATACTTCCATGAACTACAACACAACATTACAAACTTTGATTTAAAGCAAAAATTAAATGACACTGTTCTAAAATTATTTTGAATCACTGAACTGCTTATCATGAATTGGAGACTCCCTGTAAAGGGATAGTTAACCCAAAAATGAAAGTTCTGTCATCATTTACTCACCCTCAGGTTATTCCAAACAAAGTTTCTTTTTTCTATTGAACACAAAAGAAGTCACTTTGAAGAATATGGGTAACCAAACAGTTGATGGTGCCCATTGACTTCCATAGTATGGAAAAAGTACTATGGACGTTAATGGGGACCATCAACTTTTTTTTCTTCTTTTTTTTTCAGAATATATTCTTTCGTGTTCAACAGAAGAA